GGTAGGACCTTCAGGACCGATTTCCCAGGTAGCCGTCTGCGGTGACCCCCCGTGGAGGGGGCTGGCGGACCGCGTGCATTTACAATGACCTTCTCCTCTGCCTCTGGACCCACGCTGTTGGGAAAACTCATCAATTCTGTGGAACTTGGCGTGAAGGAAAGAATTTGCCCTGCCCCTGTGCCTGCTAAACCCCAGCTGAGAAAAGGGGCCCAGGAGAGGACCGCTTCTGAACATTTGACACAGTGAATGTTGCTCCCAGGAGCGGTCAAGATCGCCTTCCCTTCCCACCCGCGCAGCTGCCTCTCGCCCCGACGTGGCCTCTGGCCGGGGCCCAGGCACTCTGGTCCTAGGGTACTTTTCGGGCCCAGAGCCCCTGGGGTTAACAGACTTGACAAGAAACCCCACCGCCCGTGTTCAAAACATCACGTCTCTAAAAATGTAGCCTCACTGAGTCCGGGGGGAAAAAGGGGAGCCCCAAACGAAGAGACCCCACCCACCTCCGTCCCTCCCAGGTTCCCAGCTTGTCCACTTGGCAGCCGGACCACCCACGACCCTCAGCGCTCTGCGCTCCAGGCCGAGCTCCTGTTCCGTCTCCTCACTGGCGGGAGAGGAGCCATCTGACACGGTCTACCCCTTCACCCTCCCACGCCGCTCAGCCCCCGCTGGACTTCGGGCGAAAATGAACGCCCAGAGGACCTCTCTCAGCCCCGGGGGGCGGGGGAGGGCCACGCAGGTCCTAGTGTGAGTCTCCTTGCCACCCACGTTTGGGACCAGGAGCCCCGTGCCTCCTTTGCGCAACTGCGGGGCGGGTGGAGATGCGAAAGGCGAATCCCTGGCGGCGCCGCCAGTCCCGAAAGGAGCAAGGGCCCGCGCCTGTTGCCTGTGTCTGGGTCCCGCGCCTGTCGCCCGTGGCTGGGGCCCGCCCGGTGGGAGGCCGCGCAGCCGCCAGGAGCGCAGAAGAAAGCGCACCTCTGCCGTGGGGCCCAGAGATGCCGCAGGCCCTTCCCGCAGGTTCAGCTTCCCGTCTGAGGTCGCCCCCTTTTCTGGCCGTGCCCCCACTCCTTCTGGGCCCCCCCACCTCATGAATGCAGTTGTAGAAAGAATGGGGTACCGGCTTAGTGGCTTCTTCAAACCCTGTCACACCGCCTCTTTAAACCATCTCTGCCAGGGGCTCAACTTTCTCCAGTGCCTGCGTTCCAGCGATGGGAAAGACAATATTCTCTCGGCATTTGTCTCGGTGGCAGCGCTGGGAAAGGACAGCGTAGTTATTGGGGCAGAACGTTGGAGAGCCAATCTGATTGATACTCTTACCCCCAAATATAGAAAACCCAAAGTACTAGTTGGCATTTATTTTTATTCACTTTGTGTTGGAGACATTTGACTCGGAAAACAAGAGAGAAACCCCGCAGCTCAGATGCCTTCTGTTGCTCTGCTCTCCCGTGGGACCCACCAGGGCAGATTAGCCAGAGTCTCTGCCTTTGTTGCTTTAAGAGTTCACAAGGCAGGGGGGCAGGGCGGAGCAACGACCTTGTTGCCTTTTTTCTATTGTCCATTGTTGACGTGTATCGAGAATATGTCCACTGTACAAAGTTCCATCCAAACACGAAAAAAAATAAAAGGATTAAGGTGTAAAGAGGCCATGGTAATAGAGTTCTACTTTAACTGGCTCTGTTTGGGGTTATGTATACCTCACACACAGGTGAAGACATTACAAGTATATACCCTAATTTTTATACACCATTTATGTTATATGCTAGTGATGACATCACTTTAATTTTGCAAGGTAATTCCATAAAGAAAAGTTTGCAATGCTATTTCTAATATGCATAACATTCTCCTTTCAAGAAAATAATTAGCAGGCTTAAAAATAGTATTCAGAGGTGCTTTTATAGAAATTAAAACCCTGAAACTTCATGAACCAAAATCCCATCAAACACGATGGTCCCTAACTAGGGGCTACAGGTTAATACTACAGGAATATACTCATCTGTCTGCACAATTTCATTTTATTTTCAGTTGTGCATTTAAAATGTGTATTTTATCATTAGTCTGAAATCTCTAATCCCATCCTATGAGCAAGAAAGTCTGAAAAAGTTCTACATAATGATTAAGAAATGACTAATTAACGTTTGTGCTTTGACAACGTGCCTCTCTCTGTTTACATGTAAATTTAGTACATTAAAATTAACAAGACTAGATATCGCCATTTCATAATCTACAAAAAACTAGTGGCAAGTGAAAGAGCAAGCACGACGAATACTTGCTTACTGTAATGCCCAGCTCGGGTCTGTTGCTGCACGTAGAAGAACCAGTGAGTCAGGCGCAGCAAACACGGTGCTTTGCACGGCCCTCGGGGCGTTCAGTCTAGTTACGAACACACTGCACCATCACACCATGTGTGCTCTCACTTGAATGTAGCTAAATTGAGACTCGGCCTCATTTTAAGAATATGTCCCCCCACCCCACTCCCAAGATACATGTAACAGCCTGGAGAGCTGACAGCATCTTGAGCTGGAATGCTAAACCAGAAATCATACTGTTCTCCGGAACTAGCACCCTGCAGACTTTCACGGAGAAACAGAACCCAAATCACGTTTCCCTTCTGAGTGCGGCGCAATGTGCCGGTCACGTGCTCGGCCGCGCTTCGGAATTTGTTACCCACTCTCCTCTTCGGGAGCTGCTCAGACCACTGCTGACTGTGATGGGAGGCACCGGATGTAGTTTCCCTGGTTTCGGATTTCCATACGGTGTATGAAAAACATCGAAACCACCGTACCTTTTCGGTCTTCATGGAGGGTCCCTTCCAATCTGGAGATGTTGATTTAGCTGTCCCAAACGTCCCATGATGCTCCTCTGCGTAATGCCATCCCCGAACCATCGCGGGTCTGCTGGCATGGCTTTGGAAATACGGTGCCAGGGCAAATCCCGCCGCGTGAGTTTTCCCAGCCGTGAGAAAGAAACGTGAGCACGGCTCTCAACGTGGAGCGAAAGGGACGTGGGTGGGAAATCGCCCTTCGGGATATGGGGGTGGAGGAGGATTTGCAACCCATGACTTCATCAGCCCTCAAAAGAGAGAGGGAAAGCAGGGATTAAACTAAGACGAGAAGAGTATTCAACTTTGTAAAGAGAAAGTGCAGCATATGCCAAGATGACAGATCTGTAGTTAGAAAATAGTCGTGGGGTTGCTTGCGCTTTGCTGCCCAGGGAAGAGAGTCACCAGTGTCGTTGTGACTGCATGGTGCTGGGTGGGGGCTGGGGGTGTTGGGGGGCCCACTTCGTGAAGAATGTGACTGCCTAGCTGCTGGGCTGTACACCTGAACCTAATGCAAAATGATATTGAATGCAAACTGTCATTGCAAAAGTTTAAAAATTATTAAACTGTGCCACAATGGCAAGGAATGGCTTTCTGACCCAGTTCATCCTGATAGGCCATACATTTAACAGTCAAACCCAGGTTTTTACTATTAGTCTGGGAAAAGTAAACATTATTAGTTATTTTAATAGGACATTTAAAATTGCAAAAACTGATTTAAGGGTTCTTTTTTTTTTTTCGTAGAGGAGCAGACTATTTGGTAATTATTTTTAAAAGTTGCATTACATCTTTAAACATACTATACTAAAATACTTAACCAAAAGCAAACTCACTATGGGTGAACTGCATGAGCACGGCAAACACAGCCTAAAAGTACTAGCAATACCATAAAGTGGATTCCTACCAGTGTTCACGTAACGGGGTGCCCTGAACAGCGGGGTTCAGCACTCCAACAGGAGAAAAGTCTAGACTTGAGAAGAGACTTTTGAAGAAATGGCTGCAGAGCTTTCCAGAGTTTCTGTTAGCCCGCGCCCCACACGGGAGCACGCCAGAAAGCGTAAGTCACGCACTCGGGACGGCTCCCTTGAACCACAGCGAAAACAGATGTGAAGACACGGCCCGCTGCTCAAATTCACGCCGGGCAACCCGATGGGCCACCAGCCACCCTGCTGACGTGTCTGTCAGCACTGCTGACCTGGCTGCACACGTCCCCCAGCCTAGTTCTCCCGATGTGAGAAGACCGTAAGCCGAACCCACAGGGGACCGTTCTTCGCACCCGGACGCCCGGGAAGAGTGTGGGTGCCCAGAATGTTGGCGAGGTCAGGGACAGTTGTTCGCATGCAGTCTTTTCTGGAAGTCACGGGGTCGGAATGTCTGCACGTGTGCGCAGGCCACCAGGCCCATAAAAGCCTGAGAGGAGGCAGCAGCGCCCCATAAAAGGTCACGCCCAGCCAGAACGCAGCCACGTCGGAAAGGCGTCTGCTGCAGGGGAGAAATACGAGACTGACAGCATTGGAGGAGCTGCGGCGGCCGTGCAGGGAGATGGATGGGGATTAATCACGGGGAAATGCCGAGCGGAGAAGACAGCGCATTCTGCCAAGCACGAATAGGTCTCTGCTCACATGTTTCACAAAGTGCACTCTTCAAAGTACAAGCCGATGGGCCAAGGTCAGGTTGATCTCTGCTGGGCTAACAGAAGCAGCTGCCAAGTGTATCCCATGGCCAACTGGAGACACCTAAGGATTTTTAACATAAAAACAACCACCAAAAAAAATAAAGAGGAAATTATTCATGGTTCAAAGGCAGAAAGACTCCTGATGACGCATGGTCATCGAAATTCCATTTTCTCTCACTGCGCCTTCCCTTCCTTTTGGGGCAGTTCTGACTCCTAGAGGTTAGCGGTTGCTGGTGGCTGGTGGCTCTCCGGGACTTTTTAATGTACGCCCCTTGTGTTTCTAGATTCAGTTTCTGGCCTTATTTTGTACTGTCCTCTCACTGAGACGCCCTCTGTGCAGGCAACAGCTGCCACCTCACAGCCTTCGGAGCATTGACTTGAGCTCCCCGCTGGTGCAGCGGGGAGGGCTGGCGGGGGGGGGGGGGGAGGCCACTGGGCCTGCAATCCGCCCCCCCCACACACACATCATCATCTTATCAGGAGACACCACGGGACTCCAGCAAAGGGGAACTTCTTCCACTCTCCAGGCCCTTTAGTCTTCAGAGATTTTTGTTCGGTGTTGTCGTTTGGTTTTTAATTCAAACACCAAAACTTTCTGTAGGTGATTTTTTTTTTTTTTTGCTGTTCTTTGTTCTTTTTTTAACCTATCTGTGCTGTTATGGGAATTTCTAGAATAAGCATGTCGACAGGAAGAAAAAAAGGAAAAAGGGAGAAAGGAAGTCAAAGAAGAAAACAAAGACGACAGGCCTAAAAGGAAATGATAGGCAATGAATACCAGGCAACAGTGGAAAGGAATACACTGTTGGCACGTACACGAGGTAATGTGGATGGAGCTCAAAATAAACACACTCAGCGGAAGGAAGACCAGCAGATGAACACACGGCGGGCTCCCAGGTCGGGCAGTGCAAACTAATGTGTGGCGGCAGAGGTAAGACAACTGGGGTTCGGGGGTGCGGGGTGACAGGGAGCGGCAGCAGGGAGGGCTTGCCCGGGGCGTCAGTAGACTCCCAGCGGTAATCCGTTATTGGGAAGTTCATCGCTCCCTGGTAACGCTGGTGTCATGGGTGTAGACACAGGGCAAATCCCACCAAATCATATGCTTCACATGCGTGCGGTTTACTGCATGTCCATTACACTTCCGGAAAGCTATTGCAAACAGACCTCGAGAAAGAAGCTGCTACTTGCTGGCCCTACTCTTTATTGTTATTGTTGTCGTTATCATTGGCACCGCACACTTGGCGCCGCGGGGAGCTGGGGAAGTGGCCGGTGTAGAGCATCGCCTGGGGCAGAAGGGGAGCTCGAAGGCAGAGAAGGGCCTTCCGCCATCCCTGGGCCCGACGGGCGTGTGGCGGTCGTTGCCCATGGACTCCAGTCTGAGTTTTCTGTCGCGTAATCCTTTCATTGTAGGCACTTTTCCTTCCTCTTGCGGGGTTGCCATCAGGGACCGCAAGGTACACGCCCAAGAAGGCATCTCAGACTTCCTCCTTTCCCCAAAGTCAGACTAATTCTATGATCTCTAGTGCTTAGTGGGTCATTCTAAATTGGTCTCACGTTGTATAGGAATAGGCCTTTTCGGTGTCTTTAGAGCTCTTACATTGTTTGAAGGAGAGAGTCCACACCTTATCCATCGTCGTAAACTCTCGGCTCTCTCAATGGTCCCCGGGCCGGGTTGCTGGGTCCTGCTGCCTTGGCTGACCTTCCTCAGGCGTCCACGGCCAGTCGAGCAGAACAGACACCCCCCTTCCTGGGCACCGCGTTCCTTCACCATGGGTCTAGGGGTCAGCCTCATTCATGTCTGAGGTCTTCGCGTCCTTGGGCACTGCCCCAACACATGCCACAGCCCGGGGCTTTCCACGCAGGTAGACCGCCTCCCTCTTTCTGTCTCCTACAGGTGGGTCTCCGGCATGTCCCCAGCCCACTCTTTCTGGGAAACCTCCATATCCGATTTTCCAGTGGCCTTCGTTGTTCTACCCTTAATAGTCTGTGAGGCAGAGCAAGGGGGGGAAGAGACATTATTTCAACATGATGGTGCGTGAATGTAAGATTTGTTTCTCTTCGGGTTTTGGATTTGGGGTTTAACACGGCTGTCCGAGGGAAGGGTCAGGATGCTCTTCCTGTGGCTCCCATCTGTGTGCCTTTCTGTGGGCAGGACACGCCCCCTGCCCTCCCGCCCCCCATGAACACACGGAACCCTGAAAGATGGGGCAGGGCGTGTGGCATTTGGGGGCAGAACAGATGGAACACGATTCAGAGCATTAGTGTGGCCTGGAAGCTTTTCTTCTATTCTGGTCAGAAGCTTATCTTGTAATATGCTTCTGTGTTTCTGTCCGTATTCTGCTTTGAAAATTGCCTTCTACCACAAAATGTTTAAAGCAGTAAAAAAAAAGGGACATTGGAAGAATGAGGTCAGGACATCTTTTTATTCTCTTGGTGGAAGAGACTACCACCCATATTTGCTCAGCCAATGCCATGCCCTCACACCCCTCTCTGTTCTTGCCAGCAGAATCCTGTTTTCTCTTGGTTTGCCGATCGGGTATTTTCTCAGGTAAAATGCTTGATTTTCCTAGTTGCTTTTGTACATAGAGTGGCCAGTAAGATATAGGTAGAGGTTACTATGTAGGTCTTTTGAAAACACTACTGAAAAGGCGAGCAGACAGCAAGCACATACCTCTCTTGTCCTTGTTTTCCTTCTGCTTCTTGATAGGAACGTGGGCATTGTGGCTGGAGCTCCAGCAGCCATGTTGTGTCTGTGGAATGACCTTCAGGTTGGCAGTTAGCTACAGCTAGCACATGGAAGGTTTGCCTGGATCCCTGATGGTCTCCCAGAGCCATCGTATCATCTTTGAACTGTTGTATCAGCTCTCTGTTGCCGTGTAACAAATTGTCACAAATTTATCATCTTACCCCAACACCCACTTATTGTCCCGTGATTCCCTTGGGTCTTGTGTCTGGGCTCCTCTGGGTCCTCGGTGCAGGACGTACGAGGGTGCAGGCAAGGCGGCAGCCAGGCCGCATCCTCATCAGGAACCTCGGCGGGGGGAGTCTGCTCCCACGCTCACGGAGGTCGTCGGCAGAATTCATTTCCTCGCCGCTGTCGGCCTGAGGTCCTACTTTTATGCTGGCTGTTGGCCAGGGACCATTCTCAGCGTCTGTTTCAGGTCTCCGTCTCGTGGCTGCTAACTTGGGGCCTTCCTCAGGCTGCAGAGTCCTTCCTTTTCTACCACGCATGATAATCCAGTCGCAGGAGCGACTGGGAGCCCACAGTAGTCAGAGGTCCTGCCCCCATGCAGAAGGCGCCGGTAGCCGGGGACGAGAGTCTTGGAGGCCGTCCCAGAACTCTGTTGGCCACCCTCTCTACCCGTGGGCTGCCCGTACCTTTAGAGGATAAACCCCTTCTTTCTCCAAACCAAATAGACAGGCGTGCCTCTCGTACTTGCAACCAGACACAATTTCTCACTGTTACAGTCTCTGGAAAGGTAAGGGAGAACGTGTAAAGGAATAAACGAGTAAGTAAATAAAATAACTTCGAAAATAATGCAAAAACATGTGGTTGTAACATTTTTTAAAAAGCATCATCAGAAGAGAAAGTCCTCCTTCGAATACCCCAACATCTCTCTTCTCTCCCTGAGGGTAAACGCTCATGGCCCTAGTCCTATTTCTGTGCATCTGCACACACACACCCACATGCACATATGTTATATGATAACACATGTGATTACATACTGACATGCATATACACATCTATATTGAAGTTGCATCATGCCATACATAATATTAGTGTAAACGTCTCACAGAGGCTCACGCCCCCCACGCAGAGACCGACAGCTGAGCCAGGCGGGCTGATTGTCCCTGGCTGCAGGTGGACCCGTGGCATCCCCACAGCTTGGAGGTCTGCGCCAAGGACACCTGTGGCCGCCTGAACCCCGTGAACACCGTTGGTGGCCTCTGCGCCCTGGGGACCTGGGGAGGGGCCTTAGTCAAGTGCGGTCGGACAGGATTTAGAGGATTGGTGCTCTGGCTGGGGTATTTGGGGGCAGGTTGAAAGAACTGGGGCATTTGCTCACTCTGGATTGGAAGCTATCAGGATAGGGGGGATATTCTATGACTGGGTGACCTAATCTTCTCCAGGAGAAGGGAAGACTGGGAGGAAAACAAAGCTATCGTTGGCAAAGAAGCAGCAGTGACTTAAAGTGGCCAGGAGATAGGCGTGGGGCATTTCTGGGGTTTGCACAGTGACCAGCCTTCTGTCCTGTGCTCAGAAGCGGCGGTGTTCTCTGCTATCACGGAGAAACCTCGCCTTGTGGAGGTTTCGTGAGGTGGTTTGCGTGAGCCCGACAGGAGAACCACAGGCCCCAGCGGAGGGGCCAGGCCGACTCCCGACCTGCAGCGCTGGGGCCCGGCTGTGGGTGTGAGAGCAGTTCCTGCCACCAGGGCCGCGGCTCCTCCCCAGGAACCGCCCCGCTGGGAGCCAGAGAGAGACACAGCGGGGGTGCCCCACTGCGCTGAGCTGGGCAGAGACCGCCCACACAGTGCCCATCGCAGATGTCACTACCTGTGTAGGGACAGAGCGTGGCCGGCAATTCCAGAGTTTGTTAGACACAGTTCCCTGTTACTGAAAAGGCCTTACCTTGGTGGGCTACACACACATATATGTACACAAAATAAGTTGTGTATATATATGTACATATATGTATATATGCTTTTCTAGAGAAAGGATCACTCTAAAGAGGCATATAAACAAGTTTGCAATGCAGATACTTTTTAAAGAGAAAGCATTATTAACTACCATGTCCTGAATCAGTATAATAGTTACAGCTCAGGATTTATCTTGATTGGCCTTTGTTTCAAAATTGTATAAAATAAGCAACTAGCTGCTGCTGCTAATATCAACATTTTCTAAAAAATATGTTGAGTATGTTGCATCCTTCTAAATATTTATCTTTTTACAATAATCTCAAAAAGCTATATTTCGGGAAACTTTTTGGGCGGGCAAATAAACGCTTCCAGCCAAGCCAGACTGCACCCCCTCCAGCCTCTGCAGAGCCCCCCTCCTGACCTGGTTACCGAGGTGTCCTCGGCGCGGCGCAGCACAGGTTCTGTGTGCAAGGACTTTCTCTCTGAAGCTGGAGGAAGTGAGATTCTTCGAGCAACCAGCCCGTGTTCCCTCCTTTCTACCAGAGAAGGAGGCCCTTTCAGATTCCTCCCGAAGCTCCAGCTGGAGCAGTGTACAGGCCTCACAGCTCCAGTCTTGGAAGTAGGCGTTCCCAGCCTTGCCCGTGCAGCACTTACAGAGTGATCTGGAAGGGGATGTCGGTCGCTTGTCCCAGTCAGTGAGGGTGGCTTGTGCTTTCTTGCGGGGGAGGGGGAGTCAGGAATGGAAGGTCATCTCTGGGTGTTTGGATTAAATTTCACGAATCAAAGGACCACATCTTCCCCAAGTCTTTGCATTCCGTGTTGGTGAGAAGGGTGTAGTCAAATCACCGCACCTCCGTGCTGGAGATGAGCGAGCAGCCGTCATGGATCAGCTCAGCAGCCACAAGGGGACCGGGTTCGCTCTTGAGTCTCCGGGTCCCTGGCCCTGCCGGGTATCCCACCCACTTGCCTCCCACAGCCTGTAAGCCCAGAATGCTGCTTTGTATCCAGGGATACCTGATGAGTCCAAGGAGGAGGCAGAATAACATGACGAAGCAGGCTGTTTTCTGGCACCTCCCACTTCCTATGGTACTGGTGCGGGGCATGCTGGCGGGGGTGCTGCTGAGGCATCCCGTCAAACCCTCACCTTGGGGGGGGGGTCTCCCAGCCTGGCTCGTGCACTCCAGGGTTGCTCCCCACGCCCCCGTGACCGCTGGGGTCCCCTCATTGCTCTCAGCTGGTGCCGCTGGAGGGCTGCGTCAGCCCCGAATCTGCTGAGCTTGGGAACGTTGGTTGGTTGGTTTTCTGGGACCAAGCTAGAAAAAGCATTTTCACGGGGCCCGCCTCACCTTGCATACAGGCACGACCCGCACACCTGCTCATAGAGAAGGTGAAGTCTGAGTCTTAGTTATGAGAGATACATGAGATGAAATCAAAATGAATTTTCCTTTCCTATTACCTGCAGTGCATACCTCTACTATGAAAGATAATATTGTCATATTAAAGTTTGATGTCAAACTATAAAATAACTGGTGTGAAACTGATGTGTCAATACAAAACAGATTGGTTCTATAGGCATTGGAGTTACAGCAGTATAACTGATTATTGTCATTATCGCTCTAGTGATCATTGGTGGCAATGACAATAGTAGCATCAGGAAGGATTCAGAGGACATGCTCTTGTTCAGGTGGGAAAAGACTCGAGAATAGGAGATACACCGAGGATTTATTTTCTAGTTAATTTGCTGAGGATTATATTTTTTCTAGCTGTGTAGAAGTACATAGCTACATTATTATTAGAGATGCCAGTGAAATGGTTTTTATACATAGACACACTTATATACACACATGTATAACTTATATACACATATGCACATGCCATGAAAATAAATACTAACATATTCATTAATATTGTACGTAGATTTTATAATTACTATCCATGATACAATGTTTTACAAGGGTGGAACCCCCAAAACCTGACATTATCCTCTTCTGGAGGGTGGCCCCTTGTGGTACAGGCTTCCCCTGCTAGGTGAGTGTTCCTGGAACCCATCTGTATCAGTGCACCAGCTGGTGGTGTTGTGAGAGGCTGTGTTCAGTTCCAGTGAATTTTTTTTTGAAGATTCTTTCAACGTGCTTGCCCATTTCATGCTGCGTGATTTGGGAGCACACCTGCCCACACTCCACTGAGTGTTCAGCAGTTTTTGACCCAAACCAGCATGACCCCCATGTCCCTCCCTCCCTATTCACCTGATCTTGCCCTGAGTGACTGCTTTTCTGTTTGTTTCCCCAGATGAAAAAAAGTCTTCAAAAGGAAACATTTTGCCAGCGTGGAACAGGTGAGACAAAAAACTGCAGAAGCACTAAAAGGCATCCAAATGGACTAGTTCAAAAACTGTTTTGAGCAACAGGGAAAAAAGTCTCGATGGGCGTATTGCAGCAGATGAAGAGTCCTTTGAAGGGGACTGAAGCTGAAACATGTAAGAATAAAAACCCAATATCTTTATAAATAAATGCTGGGTTGTGGGGTCACCTCTCGTATATAGCTTTATAATTTTGACTGCATGCATGTACTAATATAGTACCCATCAGGGTGAAGAGGGGCTAAGATCTTATCCCAAAGACAGACAAATTATCCTGTGTATTAGTTAAGAGTCCCATCTCTAGTTCTCTTGTAAAGTGTCAATGATTTATTACGATATTGGTAATAAAATGTTAAATTGGCCTTGGAAATGCAAGTACTCACACATACTTGGGACTGCAAGCACATCATTTCTCACTGACAAGCACCGGCATTACGAGGCAGCAGGCAGCGCTGGGTAGTTCAAACAGCGATGAGTGCGGACTCCACACGCGTAAATGTTTTCTGCTCTTAGTGAGCCCGTGGAGAGAGGAGCCTGTTTTGTAGCTGAATGCCAAGTGCTAGAATCGCAATCTTAATATGCGTATTTAATGAGTTTTATATTGTGACCCTCTTTTGATCTGAGGCTTTTTTGAAGGCATGCACTGTTTTGAGAATGCAGCCTGCCCTCGTGTCTGTTTTGATGAGAAAGTAGGACTGACGTCATGGCGTCTCCGTGCGTGGGGCTCTCCGTGGTATTTCCAGGGGCAGTACTCACTGAGTTGGGCCGTCCACAGCCCCCTGCGCTCCCCCCCGACCTGCTTCCCTGGATGAGGACGTCATTAAGAGTTGAGGTAAGAAGCCCTGGCTGGCGTAGCTCAGTGGATTGAGCACAGGCTGCAAACCAAAGCATCACAGGTTCAATTCCCAGCCAGGGTACATGCCTGGGTTGCAGGCCATGACCCCCAGCAACCGCACATTGATGTTTCTCTCTCTCTCCCTTCCCTCTCTAGAAATAAATAAATAAAATCTTAAGAGTTGAGGTAAGAATCGGAAGCAAAATAACAACCCAAACCAGTTCTAATTAGTGTCAGAAACCTCAACCCACTGGGTGTGGGCCTCGGACTTCACTTCTCAGAGTCTTTCATCTTCCGCCTGCATAGCGTCAAGTAATGGGCAGAGTCTGATGTTGGTGAGATGGAGAGAGAATTTCATGGTTTGCATGAAATACAGTTACTTAACCCATTGGAGGGGACGGGAGGAGGTTTTTTTATATTGTCTATGTTATTGCTTTACCTCATTTGATCTAATTCTGTGAAGTGTGGATGTTTCTGACTTAAGCACATACAGAGGAACATTCTTTTTTTTAAAGAACTTTTTTTAAGATTTTATTTATCTTTAGAGAGGGAAGGGAGGGAGGAAGAGGGAAGGGAGGGAGAAAGAGAGAGAGAGAAACATCAATGTGTGGTTGGCCATGGCCTGCAACTCAGGCATGTACCCTGACTGGGAATCAAACCTGCGACACTTTGGTTCGCAGCCCACGCTCAATGCACTGAGCTATGCCAGCCAGGCAGAGGACCATTCTTGTACTGGCAACTTTGATGCCACTCTGACAGGGGCATCTATGCACACAGCATGAAAGAACAAGTTGTTAAGTGACATGCGTTTTGGGGACCATTTTGCGTATTTATTTTCTGCAGGATAGCACATCTGCAGGAGACCGAGCCCATAGTTTTGACCCGTCCAGGTATGGGCACTGCCTGGACACAGTTCCTGGGGGCAGCTGTGGCTGTTGTGTCGACAGACTACAAACGAAATAGTTGTGCTTCTGATGGGCACGTGCGTTCTTAAAACTAAATGCTGTCTACCATGCACTCATTCTCCCGACGGTCTGTTACAGCTCCCTGGTCATCAGTGGGGCAGTGAATTCTGTGCCTTCACGAAGAGCGCCCATCACTGCGCTTCTTTCTGCCTTTGCTGCTTCGTTCAAAAAGAGCCCGACACACACGTTTGCTCTTTGAATGGATTTTTAAAAAAATATTTTATTTATTTATTTTTGGATAGAGGGGAAGGGAAGGAGAAAGAGAGGGAGAGAAACATCGATGAGTGGTTGCCTCCCATGCACCCCTACTGGGAGCACACCTTGGCTTGCAAGCCAAGCATATGCCCTGCCTGGGAACCGAACTGGTGACCCTTTGGTTTGCAGGCCAGTGGCTCCACTGAGCCACAGCAGCCAGGGCTGAATGAATTTTTTTATGAATATTATTTTGCATGTAAGTCTGAATAACTACCACCCAGGTGCTTTTTTTTCTTTCATGGTTTGTTCGCGTCGGGGAAGGTTCCGTTGCGTTTCTTTCTGGGGGGGCGGGGTTGCAGGGGCAGCTGTTGGAACTCAAGCTGACGGAGGAAACCGGGAGTGTTTTGGCAGACTGCTGTGCTGCGTCAACCCACCCGATGCTTGGGGCGCCCCGAGAGCACCCAAAGGGCAGCGCGGTCACAGTCACAATAGAGATACTCAGTGTCGAACCAGTCAGTTCACTGGCAGCGAAGAGGGGGCGAACTCAACGGGCTTACCCGGACGGTGCCTGAGAGCAGGAACAGTGCAGGGAGGTGTGGGCAGGGCCAATGGAGCCCACAGGGCCGGTGCAGAAGTCCAGCCGCTGAGCCTGGGAGCCTGGGAGCTGGGGGAGGGAGGAGCCTGTTTGGAGTGGAAACTCCAGGAAAACGCCGGCAGTCAGAGCTGTGGGAGTGCAGGGGTAGATACTCTAGCCCCCTCCCAGCCCCCTCATTGCCTCCCGGGGCATAGACCCGGCCTCAGGGTGGGAAATGAATGCATCTGGAGACTCAGAAACATGAACGCAGACGCTATAGTTTCTTATTGCTGATCTAGCAAATTCCCCGGATTTAGCAGCTAAAGTAACACAGACTTATCACCCTACAGCTCGGAAGGTCCAAAGCTCTCAATTCAGGTGTCTGCAGGGAGGGCTGCGTCCCTTCTGGAGGCTGTGGGCGAGTCCCTGTCTTGGCCCTTTCCAGCTGCTGGGGGCGGCGGGCATCCTCCGACTCACCACCCCTCCCTGTAATCACTGCGGCAGCAGTGGCATCTTCTCTGCCCCGGCCTTCTCCGGAGGAGTCTGGTGGGGACGGTGGGCCCACCTCGAGCATCCAGGGTGCTGCCTTTATTTCAAAGTCCTGAAGCCCACCAGCGAAGTGTCTTCTGCAGTGTAAGGTAAGAGAGTCACGGGCTCTGAGGTCAGGATGTGGATGCTGGGGCAGTCATTTGCGGGGCTGCAGACTGGCAGACCCTCGCTAGCTAGCTGTGAACGGGAAGGGCGTGGGCGTCCCCGCCGCCGGCGGGCTACCCTCGAGACTGATGGCTCACCGCACAACTAAGAACGGATTCCTGTTTGCAATGTGAAAAAGTATTTTCTCTTTTGAAGAATGCAAAAGTATCAAGCTAATGTTCTAGTTAATACTCATTCTTGTCGTATATGGTTAGGCCTACATGTTCCAAGTCGCTGCTCCATTGTCACCTTCTCAAGTTGCCCTTTGCACGGTGGCTACTCCGACAGTGTTTATAAGAATACCAACTTGGAAAAATCATAGTCGGTAGGGTGTATTGAGTTGTTAATGATGTTCTCGCCCTTTTCAACCATGATTTCCACACTGCCCCTGTGAGGAAGATGTGATTATTGACAGCATTTTAGAGATGAGGAGGCAGGGGCAGGTTGAGTAACCCGTCACCGAGAAGCTCACTAATAAATGGACGCGATGGGTATCATTTCCCCTTTGCCTCCCTAGGTCAGTGGTCAACTCCGCCCCGCTGTCGGGGGGCCCAAGGACGTGGTAAACTGCTTCATGGGGCTCCCTTCCCCCGGCCCCTGCTTGGCTCCCGCTGAAGAAAGCATAGCAGGAGTTTCCAGGGTACAAGAAGAGAGACGTCGTGTTCTTCTCCCACCTTCCCGTCCCTCGCTGTCCCTCCCTGCCACGCTGCCCGGGGGCGGTCCGCGGCCCTCTCCAGCTGCGCCCTCTCTTCCCCGCAGGGGCTCTCCGGAGCACCGAGGTCTCGCGGCAGTGCCGGTTCCCCGTGCTCGCAGTCCCGGGGTTCTCCACCGCCCCTGTTGTTCCTTTCGACTCTTCTAACGCTGCAAGTAACCCCTTCACTCGGTGTGCTTTACTTTCATTGCTCTTCACGGAGACTCCTCTGAATGGGCCATCTTTCTCCTCCCTTTGGGAGTTAGCCGCAAGTTGATTACAAGGTTCTCCAACTTGGAAGCTGAACCCTTAATCACGACAATCTGTTGGCTTTGACAGAAACACACCCCCCGCCCCAAGCAAATGGATTGAGAACTTGAAATAAATTCGTTACATTCAGTCAACTGCTTATGTACTTGTTTTCCTAAGTTGAAAAACATGACTGACTAACTTTAAGACACATTATTAATTTCCAGGCGTGAACACGGCATACCTTTTGTTGGGTGTAATGCGTCTATTATGTAACAAACCTCTCCGTACACGTAAGGCCCATTTGTTCTTGTTATGATTCTGCCATCAGCAGGCATCGTTTACGACATCTGATGTCACACTCAGGTTTCATGCTTCGCAGTGAGTGTGGGTTTGATTCATTCACGTTGGAGACCCAGCTAGTTCTGCCTCACGGGAGGGAACTCTTGCTCCCACAGCACACTATACACGCCTGTTCCTCTACAGATTTCTCTCACCACCTCCTCAGTGACGCTGACGCCCGTTTCCTTGACAACAGGGAAGTAGGGTGAGCACTAAACCAATCGGGAGTCTGTGTCAGATTTATTCCGCAGAGTGGTAGTTGCTCAGAGGAAATACACAATATCACAGTGACCTTGTTTTCCTTTGTGAGCAAGGACGCTAACGAAGGTGCTCCACATGGCCAGTGATTTCCGAGAGCCAAGGGGACAGGCACCCAGGATGCTCCGGGCTGGCCTGTTGCATTTTTGCATTCATTCACTAGTACTGTTCACGTTTTTTCCCAGGTATTCTTGAGTCACAGGAACTGATCGACATGTTTATAATTTGGAAACTAACCAAATACTTAATCATTTCCGTTTTTAATTGTGTGATGCAGCTAAGGGGTGGCCCAATGGTCTCTGGGGGTCTTTGTGTCTGGAATATGTAGTCAGGACGTGTTATGACATCCTAATTCTGGGATCCCACAGCAGACCAATCAGAAGTCTTCCTTAGCATGTGTCCCTGCAAGCATCAAGGCCAAGGTATATATTGATAAACTTATGATGTATCAAGATCTTAAAATGACTGTTGAACCATCAGAAAAACGATTGGATTGTTTTCATAGTCACCTAGATAGTAAGTGATGTTAGGAGGTTCTTTCCACCAAACCTAACCTTCTCACGCAAACCCCAAATCAAGCTGGATCATGCACCCCAGTCATTTTTAGGTACATGAGCATGGAGCCCCCAACACCAAGGATGGGGACCTAATTACACAAGCCTGAGACCTGTGTTGCCAGGTACACTACCTGTGGGAATCAGGTGCATCTGGAAAGTTCTGACTGACTGCAGGGGAAGAAGAGACACCCTTCCACTCCTGCACGTAGAGAGGAAAACGCAGGGAGCTTTTCTGGGAAATGGTGCTGCTTGAAAACTTGACCGGAGACGACCTCCTCTGTTCAATCTTCCTGCAGATGCTGCTCCTCTGGTCTGTGTCTCGTCTATCTCATTTAAAAGGTGACCCACTTGCTTCTTCCCAATTCCGCCGAATCTCTTGAGAAACCCTGTTGCGGATGTGCCTCATCTGATTTTAACATAGACCGGATTTTAATCATGGCCCGGACCTACCCCCCAGGGGTCTCTTCTATCATCCACTCACCCTCTATGATTTTATCCAGTACAAAGAGACCATTGATTGGAAACTAAACTCATATGCATTGTTCTTTAGAAACACATAAAATTCATTTAATTAAAATACAAGGTTAGGCCCTGGCTGGTGTAGCTCAGTGGATTGAGCACAGGCTGCGAACTAAAGTGTCGCAGTTTCGATTCCCAGTCAGGGCACATGCCTGGGTTGCAGGCCACGGCCCCCAGCAACCACACATTGATGTTTCTCTCTCTCTCTCTCTCTCTCTCCTCCCTTCCCTCTCTAAAAATAAATAAATAAAACCTTAAAAAAATACAAAGTTACTCAGTATGGAGATTCAGGCTATCAAACAAAACTAAAGATCAAAATGCCCTGTGAGTTAAGTAATTGTTCCACATTTTACACAGAAGGAACAAAAGCCATATAGCAAACCAAGTGGATCAAAGTTGGACATGTCAGGAGGCCCTCTTTCTTCATGTGCCAACTTTTTTCAGTGCTATTCATTACCAACGTGGATTTAGCTACCTAGTGTGTCATTACTCCTTCTGTATCCCTTTAAGGTCCAGATTGGCATACCTTCTCACATGGGGGAGAACTGTTGCTCTGTCAAAGGTTTCAGATTCCCTGCAAAATGTTCCAATACTCACAAGGGTTTCGACACCATCCAGGTGTGGTGTGAGGGTGCCAGAGATGGGGATCGTGAGCAGGGCAGTAGGTGAGGGAAGGCAGGAGACCACACTCGGGGCATAGTGAGTAGAGAGCATGGTTGGAACAGCAGGTACTCAGCTCGCTGGGGAGACAGAACGCAGGAAACATGTAGACGATGATAAGAGTACCGGAGGCCATAATGCCTGAGACGATTGGACAGCAAGTAAACTGAGTAACAAGGGGAGAGACGCAATATTAGCTATGCAGTGGGGGAAGAGGAGACACTAGAAGCCAAGATCTGGTAATGAGATGGTTAGAATGGCCTAGGTATGGAATTGTGAAGGCATAATCTAGGATTTTGTCAGTGGAGATGGGAAGATAACTGGGTAAGACATGTAGCAATTAGATCTTTAGGAGTTAGATCTAACAGAACTTGGAGACTAATTCTTAGATGGAGTGTATTTTCATGGGAAAATAAGTCAAAGAAGGCCAAAATTTGCCGCCTGGATGACTGAACACTAGATGAGTGTCCACTAATGAAAACAGGATTATTATGAAGAATTTGGTTTGGAGGTTTTGGTGTTTCAAGGAGTAGCAAAGCACCAGGTGGCACAGTGAACCGAGCAGTTGGAAAGACAGGTCACGTGTGGGGGAGAGAGCCTGGGCTAGTGGGTGCGAGTTGGACATAACAGTCAGTCCCAGTTAAACGACAATGAAGCAGATCGATCCCCTACTCCATTCTTTGGATCCATCTGGATCTTGGGACCATGCATGTTTCCGTCTGCATGTTTCCTGTGTCTGTAGCTTAAAGGAATTCCCACAAGGTGGTGATGCATTCTTATTAGGTACATAGACTTGAAATTTCAAAATAAATATCAATAAGGATCCAGAGACAACTATTTTTTTGGCTCCATCTGGGGCAGTTTTCTGAAGCTACCATTTGACATGTTATATGAAAGTGTTCTTTAGTAATGAAGTAGAACTACATCATTTATCTTACTATTTTCTAAAATATACCAGAAGTGTGAAGGTTATTTGGAGTACTAATTAAACCAGTCATAAAAATCTGGGATCATTTAGGGCTGTCCAAACTTTCTGTGTGAAAATAAAATATTTTCTCAAACGTTGAGCATAATTCGTTATGTAATGTCTCTCCAGTCTGCTTTTCTGACAGAATACTCATTTAGTTTTCTTATTTTTTAAGTCAGTTGTTTTTCCTCCCACTGATCGCGTATTGTAAACTAGCATTTGTCTTTCTGGGTTTGAAAGCACTGTCCGCCCACACTCGCACCCTCACACCCTCCAGGCAGCCACGTCCTGCTCACGCCTGCGTGTAGGTTCAAACCACGGCATGTTCTCCTCTCATGAATGAGTCATCCATGAAACATGTAGTATTGCAAATATTCACATATCACTCGTTATCTGAACCCGTAACCACGTAATCACTGTGTATACTCATGAAATCCCCCCCAAATTCATTACTGAAAATAGTCCAGTAAAGACATCTACGATATATAGACTTTGTATCACAGAATTATGCACTTGAAACCGATACAATTTCATTAGCCAATGTCACTCCAATAAATTTAATAGAATTTTTAAAAAACACCTAAATTGTTCTCCGAGTTTGAATGAAAGAATCTGGATTTTGTTTCAGTCATATCTTAACTCTTCTTTTAATAAGATCTTTGTTTCAAAGTATTTGTGCATTATCTATTATGTTCTACACATTATTAAGTGAAAAAGTCTTATAAGAAATGAGGTGAGCCTAGGATTTCTGGCCAAGATGGAGGTCCAAAACAAGGACAACAACAAATTTAAAGACAAAAAACAACTAGAACTGACAGAAAATCGAACTGTATGGAAGTCCAACAACCAAGGAGTTAAAGAAGAAACACTCACCCAGACCGGTGGGAGAGGTGGGGTTGGGCAGCCAGGTGGAGAGGACTCATGGGAAGGCAGCAGCTGGTGGACTGGGCAGAGCAGATAAACTGGGAGGAGCAACTGGGGAGTGAGACAGACCCACAACCCAGGGCCCCAGCAGGGAAATAAAGCCGCAAACCTCTGACTGAAAACACCTGTGGGGGTTGAGGTGCCAGGAGAGACTCCCAGTCTCACAGAAGAGTTTGTTGGAGAGACCCACAGGGTCCTAGAACATACACCCACCCGGGAATCAGCACCAGAAGGGCCCGCTTTGCTTGTGAGTAGTGGGGGAAGTGACTGAAATCTGGCAGAGAGCGGAGCAAGGGACTGTGTTCCCTCTCAGACCCCTCCCCCATGTGGGTTGCCCCGCCCTGGTGAACACCTAAGGCTCCACCTCTCACTACATAACAGGAGCATCCAGACCAAAAAAGCCCAAATGAAAGAACACATCAAAGCTCCAGAAAAAATATAACTAAGTGACAAAGAGAGAGCCAACCTATCAGATGCACAGTTCAAAACACTGGTAATCAGGATGCTCACAGAAGTGGTTGAATTTGGTCACAAATTAGAGGGGAAAATGAAGGCTACACTAAGTGAAATAAAGGAAAATGCAC